TAAGGAACAAGGACTAAGGACTAAGGAATAAGGACTAAGGAACAAGGACTAAGGACTAAGGAATAAGGAATAAGGGACAAGGACTAAGGACTAAGGAATAAGGAATAAGGGACAAGGACTAAGGACTAAGGACTAAGGAATAAAAAATAAGGACTAAGGAACAAGGATTAAGGAATAAGGAATAAAGACTAAGGAACAAGGACTAAGGAATAAAGAATAAGGAAGAAGGAAGAAGGACTAAAGAATAAGGACTAAGGATTAAGGACTAAAGAATAAGGAATAAGGACTAAGGAACAAGGAATAAGGACTAAGGAATAAGGACTAAGGAATAAGGAACAAGGAATAAGGAATAAGGCATAAGGAAAAAGGAACAAGGACTAAGGAATAAGGAATAAAGAATAAGGACTAAGGAACAAGGAATAAGGAATAAGGAACAAGGATTAAGGAATAAAGACTAAGGCATAAGGAATAAGGCATAAGGAATAAGGAATCAGGAATCAGGAACAAGCCCAGTGCATTATCTGTGCCTTGTGCAGAGGCTGCAGTGTGGTGTCTGCAGTGACACAGAACAGCCCTGGCTCTGTCGTGCTGCTGCACCCGCCAGACGTGATTGGAGCTTCGTTTCTGGGCAAGGGAGAGGCAGAAGAAGTTAATTAAGGGAATCTGGAACAAATTCTCCCCAGAGGAGCTGATGATGTGACGGTGACTGGTGCCAGCAGAGCTGGAGCTCATCAAAGGTTTGGGGCTTATTGAGTTAAAAACTACTAAAGGTGTATTTTCACCTCCAGCTGATAAGGAGATGGGTGCTCTGGGTGATTAGCAGGGCTGAAGGGCTGTTGGGAATAAAGAGATAAGCTGCCATGGATCTGGAGTGGAGTGTGAGACGAGCTCTGGACTGGATGATCTCAGAGGTCTTTTCCAGCCTAATTGATTCTGGGATTCTGGGAGTCTGGGCCTGACATCTTGCACTTCTCTGGCTTTAATTGGGGTGGGTTGGGAGTTGCTTCAGCTGGGGAGGGAGGGCCAGAACATAGAGAACTGGTGACACAGAGTCTCTCTTCTTGTTTCCACCAGGGCTAATGGGAGCTTTCCTTGTGCCTCAGCATTAAATCACTGCCTGAAGCTGCTCACTTTGCTTTTGCTCTGAGGTGACAGGGAGAAATACTGGGTGCAGAAAGAAGCCCTGACCTCTAATAAATGACCTCTAACTGGTAGGTCAGGGCTCTCCCATTCCTTCCTGATTTCAGCGCTTCATTTCTTCTCTGGGATAAAAAAAAAAAAACTCCAGCAGCTCATAATTGATCATTTGAGAGGAAAAAAATGGGAAAAAAATGAGATTTAAAAAAACAGGTAGACCTGCATTGAATTTATTGCAGCTCCTGTGTTTTCCCTCAGTGAAAATGGAATAAGTTTTTCAACTCTCCATTTTTAAACAGCAGCACCAACCCCTGTGCTCTGTGAGGGCAATTCCCTTCTGCTTCCACCCAGCTCTGTTGGCAGATGAAGGTGGTTGTTTTCTTGGGGTGAATTATGGATTTAAACAACTTCCCCAGACTAACCAGGAGCTGCTTCTCATTTTCCTTCCTGCCAGGAATCCCAACCAGCTCTGGAGGGATCCAGGGACTGGGAACCCAAATGCTGAGGCAACACTGAGGGGGAGTTTGAGATACACCTTGAAGAGCTGTCACCAAATGGCTTTTGGGAGGCACAAAATTCATCAGTTTGATAAAATTTGGGCGTTGTTGCTTCTCTCACTCCTCCCAAACCAGATGACAGTGCTCTGGTTAACTCCTGCTACCCTTTCACCTCCCAAAATTTCCAAGGCTGATCAAGAGAACTGTGAAAGGTGGAGACTGTTGACAAGGGCCTGGAGGGACAGGGCACAGGGAATGGCTTCCCACTGCCAGAGGGCAGGGAGAGATGGGATACTGGGAAGGAATCCCTCCCTGGGAAGGTGAGGAGGGGCTGGGATGGAATTCCCAGAGGAATTGTGGCTGTCCCATCCCTGGAAGTGTCGAAGGCCAGGCTGGAGCAACCTGGGCTAGTGGAAGGTGTCCCTGCCCATGGCAGGGGGTGGCACTGGATGATCTTTAATGCCCCTCCAACCCAAACCATTCCATGATAACAATAATAACCACCACCACCAGAAACTTTTTCGGGAAAAGGAACACTCTACCTTTATTTCCAAAGATTTCCAAGGAAGGGACAGCTGCACCTCAATGGCTTCACTGCTTATTTCTTCTCTGTGATTTTAACAACAAAGGGTAAAATCAGGTAAATCCGAGGCCTGGGTGTGAAAATTCCCACTGGAATCCTCCAGTTCAGAGGGAGGAGTTAAATTCCTTTTTCTTCCCAGTGCCACTGGATGCATCCCACGAGGAGGGACATCTGCTCAGTGACTCAGAGCAGGGGACCATCCCTGCACAAGCTGCCTCACACTCAACCTTTCTGAGGCTTTTTCTGCTGGTTATGCAAGAAAAGAAATAAAAGGGGGGAAATTCATGCCAGGGGAGAACTTTGAAAGCAGCAACTTGGCCTGGAAACGTCTCCAACATCAAAATGTTAATAATGAGAGCATGTTCCTGCTGACAGTCCTGGAGACAGGAATTCTCCTGGAGTCCAGGGCCAGCTCCTCCAGTGCTCTCTCCTTCGTGGCTTTGCTCTTCCACATGGAAAACCCTCCGTGGAGGGGGTGGAGGAAGGGAGTGGGAAGGGACTGAATGCCTCGAGGTTTGGCCTTCAGGGAGAGCAGAGGCCAAGCCCTGAGGAGCAGGGGGAGGATGATGATGCTGAGGAGTCCATGAAAAAAAATTCCTCCTGATGTCCCACCTGAACCTCCCTCAAGGCCGTCTCCCCTCGTCCTGTCAAACCTGCTGGTCAAGTTGCCAAGGAAGCACTGGGAATTGGCTTTTTTTTTGCCAAGCTGAAGAGGGTGGCATTTGGCCCGTGCCACCTGGAATTGCCAGCTTGAAGCTGCAGGACTGGGGGAGAAATAAATCTGGGCAGTAGCCCCGGCAGTCCTTGGAGTTCTGCAACCCTTTAAAGCAGTTGTGCAACGAAGGGGAAAATAGGAATGGATTGAAAAGGGGGGGTTCATCAGCCAAGGGCTGGGGGATAAATCAGAGAAAGCCACGTGCTGAAAGTAATGGATCTGCAGGGTTTGTCTGGGCTTTGGGGTTGGTTTTCCTTCTTCTTCTTTTTTTTTTTTTTAATTCTTCACAAATTGTTCCTCTGCAAATCGTGGTGCCAGGCTTTAAATGGGGTATAACTGTCTCCTGCTGAAGTTTGTGAACCGGTGTGACCAGGGGAGCTCTGTTCCTTCCACCAGCTGAAACGTTGGCCTTCGGTGTGTTTTTGTGACCTTTTCCATTAATCTGGTTGGATGATGACAATATATCCCTTCCTTGATGTAAGTGACCCAACACATCCTTTGTTCTCCTGCAGCCAAATGAAAATGCAGGCCAGAATTAATCACTGGCACAAGAGGCCCCTTGGGAGAAGGGAGGGGAGGACTCCAGGGAGGGAGTTATGGAATCACAGGATAATTTAGGCTGGAAAAGACCTTTAAGATCATCAAGTCTGAGTATTAACCCAGCACTTGGGGGGTCAAGTGGACCTCTAAACCCTGTCCCCAGGGACCAGGTTTAGCTCAGAGCTGGGTGAGCTGTGGCTGAATCACCACCCATTCCACGAGGAACTGGATCTCTGGAGTCTGTCTCCAACATCTGTGGCATTTTGGGGCATCAGGGAGCAAGTGGCTGGTGCTGCTGGTGCTCCTGGGAAAAGCAGGAGGCAGCTCTTTGGTCCTGGGAGAGTTTTAGAGCTGGGAAGTTCTTTCCTCGACCAAGGTGAGACAAAAAGTCGAATGATTTGCTCATGACTTTGCTCGGGTCATTTTGGGAAGTCTTCACCTTCTCTTTCTGGGGGTGAGTTTTAATGTTCTGATCTGGGGGTTGCTTTAACACCCAACCCACCCCTCTTGCACGTGAGGATGTTTCAGTGTAAATAATAACCCATTTTTCCGGGCTCCTCCAGAAAAGGGAATTTATCCCCAGCTGAGTGTTTCCCATTAAGCCTTTTGATTTTTGAGGGACTATTTCAACCAGTCTGCACCCACCTCTAGTGACCACCAGCCAGAAGCTGGAGCTCAAGCAGCCTCTGCCTGAAGCTGCAGCCCAGTTTTCAGCCCTCAGCCCCTCCTTGGAGGAGCACAGCCCGTCCTCCCCACGTCAGTGGAAAGAGCAGGGTAATATTGTGACTGGCCCAGCTCCAGCTCTCCGGGGCTGAAGCCGTGGGATGATTTGCCTGTTGTTTAAATGTCAGAGGATCAGGGATGTCCGAGGGGAGAAGTGGCCTCTGAGCTCATCAAATCCACGTCACGGGAGTCACAGGAATCCGAGGCCAGAGCAGAGTTGTGGGAGACACTGCAAAGACAATTGAAGAAAGCAAAAGAATAAAAGCAAGCACTCCAAACTTAGAGGTGAAGACAAATATACTGATCTATACAGGCACTGGTAGATGCAATTTAATAGTTACTATTACTTGTTGTAACACACACCCCACCCTACAATACATTTTTTCGTTCACTGAGGTACCAATATTTAAGAATGCAAAAAAATTCAATATTGAAAAATAAAACCTAAACTTGAAGCCTTTTTTTTTTTTTCTTCTTCTTCTTCTTCTTCCCCAGAAAACTACGGCAATTTCAGTATGGAATGTCAGGATACTTATAGAATTTTACAGTCTACATTGTGGGGTTTTTTTGCGGGGGGGGTGGTTTGTGGTTTGTTTGTTTGGGGTTTTTTTTGAATTTTCTGGAACCAAAAGTGGCTTTCCCGCACAGGTCCTGTGGATGTCAGTGATCCCATCGGAATTCCTGTGACTCAGCAGTTGTGCCTGACATCCCAGCCCATCCCAAGCCGTGGCACTTTGCTCCACACACATCTGGCCACGTTTAACATTTCACGGTCAGAGCCCTTTGAGCTATGCCAGGAATTCCATGGAGAAACCTGGAGGCCAAGCTAATCCCAGCTCTTCAAAGCAGAGGCACTGAAGCACGGCCTGGATGTGGAATATTTCCCAACAGCTCAACCAGCTGTGCCCTGATCCACTTGTTTGACCCTGAAAACAGCTCTGGGATCCTCAGGAGGGGCTGGTTCGGCTACAAACCAGCCCAAGTTTATTCCAGCCACTTCCACCAGCTGGAACCCAGCCAGGATTCCTCCAGCACAAATCCTGGAACCTGGAAAGACTGTTCCCCCTCTTCCCTTAACCCAGCTACAAACCAGGAACACGCCTTGTCCTTGTCTCCCCTCAAACACACCGTGCTGGGAGGGGTCACCCTGCAGGTCAGGAGGCTCAATTTGGTCAAGCAAATTATTGTTGCAAAGTTCTCCTCTCCCTGTCTCAGAGAAGCAACAAAACTGCAGAGTTTAGTTGACTGAATAAAGCAGGAAAAAAGGATTATTCTTCCTGACACCCCAGTTTACCCACCAGGTTCCCTCTCTTTTTTTCTGCACTTACTCTGTTCTCTTTCCCTTTTTCATTATTTTTTTTTTATGGGTTAAATCTTTTTTTTTTTTTTTTTTTTTTTGGTCTTTTTGCGTTTTGTAAAAATGTGCTTTGGCAGGAGCCGGGATTTTTTTTGGTCAGTAATCCACTTATGCTGTGGTTTAGAAAACCTCTCAAATCACAGCTTGGACACAACGCTGCTCACTGTCCTCCTTGGCTGCTCGTGTGGCACGAGGAACGTGCAAGGAAACCCAGCCTTTCGTGTTCAACCACCTTCCCAAACAAACAGAGGAGCCAGTCCCTGCCCCAGTCAGGCCTTTGGGCTTGGAAGGGGCTGCAAATTTGGGATAAAAATACTCCCAGGTGCAATCTTGACAGGTATAAACTCAATATCTCGTGGCTTTGTCTCTCGGTTTCTGTATTTCTGTACATGCAGGTGTAAATCAGGGAATCCTGGAATGGTTTGGGTGGGAAGGGACCTTAAAATCATCCCATTCCACCCCCTGCCATGGGCAGGGACACCTCCCACTAGCCCAGGTTGCTCCAACCTATCCTTGGACACTTCCAGGGATGGGGCAGCCACAGCTTCTCTGGGAATTCCATCCCAGCCCCTCCCCACCCTCCCAGGGAGGAATTCCTTCCCAATATCCCACCTAACCCCACTCTCTGCCAGGTTGAAGCCATTCTCTGTGTCCTGTCCCTCCGGGCCCTTGTCCCTACTCTCTCTCCATGATTTTTGGCAGCTCCTCCAGGCCCTGGAATGTCCTGATCAGGTCGCCCTGCCCCAGGTCCGGCACCAGCACTCGGCCCTTGTTAAACCTCACGAGATTCCCACGGGAATCTCGAGCTCCAGGTCCCTCTGGATGCTGCCATCCCTCAGGTGGGAGTCTCTCCTTCCCAGCCAAACCTAAACCCCCCCTGGTTTAACTGGAATAGTTGTTCCTATAAATCCATTTGCCTCTTCTCTGCATTTTCAGATCCTGTGGCAGCTTTTGCCCCACAGCTAAAAACTCACATTTTCCCTTCTCTAAACCCCTGAACTGCCTTTCTGTTCAGAACCCACGGATTAAACCAATGTGCCTTTTTCTCAGGGGGCAGGAAGAGAAGCTGAACCCTTCTCTTATATGGGTTTTATAAGTAAAACCCATATAATGGCCACGGGATGCTTGAGGATGTCAAATTTCATTGGAAAACACAAGTTTCTTTCCTGTCTGTGGTTACCAGAGTAAAACTGGTGCTGAAGGTGAAGGTTAAGCCCTGAAAGAGCAGCTGGAGCTTCAGGGTGGTTGTATATATTTATTTATGGTATATCCTATAGGTCCCAGGCCAGATCTTGGCTCCCTCATGCTGAGCACTGCATAAACAAGCAAACAAATCGCCCCAAATATAATTAATATTATTATTAATATTATTATTAATATTATTATGAATGGCAGTGCCAGTGCTGAGTGTTGCTTGAGTGAAGACACAGAACCCTGAGCAAGGTTTGGACCCTCCTGTTGCACAGGCAGAGGGCACAGAATTGTCAGGTTTGATTGTCCTGCTGGGAAAAAATCAGCCCCAATATTATTAATATAATTATTAATATAATAATTAATATAATAATTAATATAATAATTAATATATTATTAATATAATTATGACTATTGTTAATAATATTATTATTATGAATATTATTAATAATAATATTATTAATAATATTATGAATGGCAGTGCCAGGGCTGAGTGCTGCCCGGGGGAAGACACAGCATTTAGTTAATTAATTAACTAGTCTAGTTGCCTAATTAACCCTCACAAATAAATAGCTTATTTTGGTTTTGAAAGCTTATATTCAACCTGTGTGTGTGTCCTCTTGCAGCTCCTCAGCAGAGGTGGCAAATTCCTCTTGAGTGAAGTAAAAAAAGAAAAACTATTCACATTCAGAAGGAAAACTTTCCTGTGGCCTCGAGGGAAACCCTCCCACGGGGTGAAGTCAAGTTGGCTGAATTTAGCTTTATCAAGTCTTCTCTGTATAAAAAAAAATGGTTTTTCTTCCAGATACGGGAAGTTTTGACCCGTTCAGGCCGTGTGAAGCTGTTAAATATTGGAGGTTGTGGGTTTTAGGCCTCCAAAAAGACAATGAGAGGGGGTTAAATGGTTCTATACACACATTTTTGAACATAAAATTAAGAAAATATTAGGAAGAAGAAAGGCCCAAGGGCCATATTTGGAAAGATAACCAGGACCCCAATTTCTCATTTATTGCAGAGGGATGCTGAGGATCAGAGGGGAGAAGGAACTGGAAGTGACTCAAGAGCCAGAGCTTGGAACTCCTGACCTGGAGCTGGGCAACCAAACCCCTGGAAAATCCCATTTTCCCATGTAAATCCCACCTGCTGCTGAAGGCAGTGGAATTTTACGGTGGCTCACGAGAAAAACTCCATTTTCAGCTTCAGTAACGTTGCGGGTCAGTAGCTGGTGTTTCCAGCTTCCCAGGTTAATTTTATGGAATATTTTGCGTTGTGCCAGACTCTAATTATCCCCAAACAATTCCTGCCTTCCTTTACTTTCCCCCCTTTTGCCTGTAAATGTCTTACAAAGGAACTGAACTCTCCCTTTTCTCCGAGACCGGTAATTTTTAGACAGAAATGAGGAGAAATCTCGAGTGTTTTTTTTTTTTTCTGCAAACCCATTCCAGGCCTTTAGGATGAGGACAACACACTTCCTTAAAAACAGGTTAAAAGCCCATTTAACCAAAAGCAAATGAAATCAACGTTGCTTGGAGAAATTTCCAGGTACAGTTTTAGAGGACCAAAAAAAAAACAAAAAAAAAAAAACTTGTGTTTGGTTTTTTGTTGGTTTTTTTTTTTTTTCTTACGACATTTTCGGGCTCTGATTTTTAATATAATTTAATATAATTTTAATATAATCTCGAAGGCTCGTGGTTTTTTTTTTATTTTCCAGGCAATTTGCTGGGGGGTCAGCCTGTGTGAATTAAATAGTGGGTGAAGTGCCCTGGGTGAAAAGCTTTGCAGTGTGTTAGAAAATTTGGGGGTGTAAGAAAAGTTTGGGCTCAAAATCAGCCACTGAGAGCAGCCAGACTGAGTGTTGGTGCTTCCTCTGAGCTGGTGCTGGGTCTTCCCTGTAGAACCCACATAATTCCTGCTTGTCCCACGCCCCAAAAAGTTGTCTTCCACCCCTGGAAGTGTTCAAAGCCGACGCTGCAGCAAAGCCCGTGGGCCGTCAGTGTTATGAGAGAGCAGCAGAATATTCCACCTGAATCAGCTTTTCGAGATGATGCTCGACGGGGTGGAAACAAGGCAGGTTGCAGGGAGGTTTCATTTCCCTCCTGGGCTCCTCCTCGGATCACACAGAGGTTGCTCGGTGTGGTTGTGGCACCTGAGGACGTGGGGGGAGTGGGTTGGTGGCTGGGCTTGGGGATCCAGCAGGTCTTTTCCAAGCTGAATGATTCCATGATTCTGTGGTGATCCTGGAGGTCTTTTCCAAGCTCCATGATTCCATGATTCTGTGGTGATCCAGCAGGTCTTTTCCAAGCTGAATGATTCCATGATGTGTGGTGATCCTGGAGGTCTTTACATGATTCTGTGGTGATCTTGGAGGTCTTTTCCAAGCTGAATGATTCCATGGTTCTGTGATCCAGCAGGTCTTTTCCAAGCTGAATCATTCCATGATTCTGTATTGATCCAGCAGGTCTTTTCCAAGCTGAATGATTCCATGATTCTGTGGTGATCCAGCAGGTCTTTTCCAAGCTGAATGATTCCATGACTCTGTGGTGATCCAGCAGGTCTTTTCCAAGCTGAATGATTCCATGATGTGTGGTGATCCTGGAGGTCTTTACATGATTCTGTGGTGATCCTGGAGGTCTTTTCCAAGCTGAATGATTCCATGATTCCATGATTCTGTGGTGCAGGGGGGTTGCTCTGCTGTTTCTCTGTTTGCATTCCCGCCCTTATCCCGCCGTGATTCCCTCTCTCTCCTCATCCCTGAGAATTCCAACGTTGTCCCGAGAGCAGGAGCCCTTGGAGTCACAGACCTGCTCTGCTGAATCAGAGCCCTTTTCTTCCTCCCCTCCTGCCTCCCTGGGCAGCTCCCCAGAGCAGCAGGGAAGCTTTGCCTTAAAACAAGAGCTTAAAGGGACAAAAAGAATTAAAAATAAAAAAAAAATAAATAAAAGGGAAAAAAATCCGAAAGGAAAAGCTGGAAAAGCAAAGCACTGCTGCCTTTTCTGTGCAGGCTCCCCCTTCCCTCTGGGAATCAGGAGCAGAGCAACCCCATGGGAATGTCTGGAGGTTTAATTTGAACAAGTTGCTGGCATGGCCCTGGGCCAGTGTCCCCCTGTCCCAAATCCCAGAGTTGCTGGGCCAGTGTCCCACTATCCCAAATCCCAGAGTTGCTGGGCCAGTGTCCCCCTCTCCTGACTCCCAGGCCCCCGGGAAGGAGCCAGGGGGGGTGAGGGCTGAGTCAAAGGCTCAGAGGCACTTTCTCAGCACTCAGCTGGGAAGTCCTTTGGGGTCAGCCTGTCTGAGTGGGATTCCTGCCTCTCCTCATGGATCTGTTTTGGATACCAGGCACCAGTGTTTGCCTGGAGTCGTGGAACAGGAGGCAGAGGGGGGCAAAGGGCTGAGGTGAAGGAGAGTGCAGGGGCTGAGGGGGGAGGAAACAGGCAGCAGCTCTGGGGAGAGGAGAGTGGAAACCTGGAGAGGGTAGGAAAATAGAGGGGGATCAGAGATGAATATTTACAGAACCACAGAATATTCTGAGTTGGAAGGGACACACAAGGATCAGCAAGTTCAGCTCTGAAGTGAATGGACCACAAAACCCAGAGCCTTGATGTCATTGAGACCACTTGGTGATGGGACAGCCAGAAAAGGAGGAGGAAAGAAAGAGGAGAAGAGAGAGACCCCAAGGAATGGAGGCAGGTCCAGATGGGCCAGGGCTTGGTTTGTCAGACAGAGAATCCTGGAATGGTTTGGGCTGGAAAGGACCTTAAAGATCATCTAATCCAAGATGATCTGCTGGGCCAGGCTGCTCCAATCCCAGTCCCACCTTGGACACTTCCAGGGATCCAGGGGCAGCCACAGCTTCTCTGGGCACCCTCTTCCATGCCAACAACGAGCCATGGCTGGGAATTGAGGCACCAAGCAGTGGTGGCACCCCTGGGTGCCCCTGAGCTGATCTTTGAGGTGCTTCCCAAGCCAAAGCATTCCAGGATCCCATGGCTGGGAGAGCAGCAGGTCAAGCAGAGGTTAAACAGGGGGGACACCAGAACGAGGGGCTGATGCAGCAGAGGAGCAGGAGGGGGAGGCAGAGGAGGGGACAGGACACAGACAGGGGGATGTGTCGTGGCCACAAACGTCAGGGGTTGGGATAAACATCCTGCTTCCAAAGAATCCTGCCTGTGCAGAGATCTCAGGCTGAAACTGTTCCAGCAAACATCTCCCCGGGTGCTGACACTGCTGGGCTGGGTGTTTACCCCCTGCACACACACACACACAGCCAGTCATGGCTTTGGCTGAACATTTGTAGGGTTTTGCTCCTTCCCCAGGGTCGGGGTTGTTGTTACAATTAACAGGGAATTGTCTGACAGAGTTTTTATACGTCTTTTTCAACTACTTTAATAAAATTCCCCCCTGGTGAGAGGGGGGCAGGATTGTTGGGTCTGTTAGCCAGGCACATCTTCATTGCTTTATATGCTTTAAAAAACATGATCCCTAAAAGGCTAGAGGGCCACAAGCAGGATTTCCATGAGATACTCAGCTGCAAGCTCAGTTACTGTCAGCTCTGTGTGCTTAGATCTGTACTTGGGCTGAAATAACTCCTTATTTTTGTTTCCTTACAACTTCTAGACGATGGGAAGTGTTTGCTTTTAAATCCAGGGGTAAGAGCTGAAAATTTAAGGACTTAGAGAACCTTTTCCATCTCCTGCTGAGCAGCAACTCTCAGGAGATTTTACCTCCAGGAGGTTTTATCTCCACCAGAACCTGCTTCTCCATTGCTTCCCACTCTTCAGGGTCATTCATGCTTGTAAAAACTGCTGCCTTATAATTAGAAATTGTCCAGGTGAGGTAGAAGAGATCAGAATTCCTCCTCGTGGGCAGCTTTGCCCCACAGTGAGAACTGAAGGTTCATTTGTGGTCACAGAGATGCCACCGGTCTTTAATCACATCCTGCTTTGGGTTTTCATTTCCACTTTGGGGCCTGGGCACTCCAATCCCTTAGATGTGGCATTTTGTTCATCCTTTGAGATGCTTTTTGATGAAAATCGCAGTACTGGCAGCGCTGGACCTTGGATGCAGCTTCCCACGAGAGGTTTTCCGAGTGTTTGATGATGGAGCAGCCTGGGCTGGTGGAAGGTGTCCCTGCCCATGGCAGGGGCTGCAACTGGGTGAGCTTTAAGGTGCCTTCCAACCCAAACCATCCTGGGATTCCATGATTTAAAGCCCACAAACAAATCCCTCCTGCAGAACTCTCCGAGGCACAGAGTTTGTGCTGCAGCAGGACTGACCCAGGGTTAAACACCAGGAAAAACACCCAAGCAATAAAGAAACGAAGCTCTCAAAAGAATTGAAACTTCACAGGAGTTTACAAAGAACTTCTTTTGCCTCTCAGGAGCCGTTTCCAGCCCCAGCAGCCCACGAGGACAGGCCTGACAAAAAAAACTGGTTTTGGAAATGACAGGGACACAAAACTGCTCCTGCCTTGGAAGAGGGGACTGGACGTTGACCTGGAGCTCCCTTCTGGCTCTGCTTCCATGAATATCCCCCCTTTATCCCTGGGAAACGAGGGCAGGGAGCAGGGAAAGGCCATGGCCAACGTCATGGAGCAAAACTGGAAGTAGAACTTAGGTCTCTTCTCTGTGGGGGCAAGAAAAAGAGAGAGGGAGGGGGGAAAAAAAACAACCAAAAACAGAAAAAGCAAAATAAATAAGGGATTCATTACAGGCTTTTCCTGCCTCTCAATCCCAGGCTTCCCTGTGTTTCTTCTTGAAAGGAATTTTCCCCTTCAGTTCAAGAAGGGAAAAGTAGACCAGTTCAAGAGGACCAGCTTATCAAAACCAACTTGGCCCTTCAAAACCTCCTCGTCTGGACCCGAAAATCCACGTCCAGCCTGAGGAATCCTGGTTTCTGGGCCATTTCCCCCCGGATTTGATGGGCAGTGAGCACATTTGGGCAGCACCAGGTCACTTCAAAGAGCTGCAAATGCAAAAGCTGCCCCCTGGGCAGTGCAGGGTTGGAGGGGAATGTTGGTCTTGGCAGTTCAGTGGTTGCCACTCAGTGAAGAAGAATTGCAGCCCAAGGTTGCAACAGCAACGTTTGGAGGTCACAGGCACTGTCCCTCCCCGGTTGAGAGCTTGAAATTAAGACAAATGCTGCTGCTTTGGAACTGGTTTTCAGCCACCAAGCACTGGGGATGCTGGTGAGACTCCCAGCTCAGCTCAGGCAGATATTCCCTCTCCATCCCCTTCCTCTTGGATCCAAACCTGGCCTCAAGAGTTTACTGAGATAAATCCAAATTAAACCAAAATCCTACGAACGTGGAGGGAAAAGCAAGAGAAACATGTAGATAAAATCCCTTCTGGGATGGTCCTGAACCAAACCCCAGCTCTGTGCAAGCCCAGCTGGGGAGGGGAAAAGCGAAAGGAGAGGCCCAGCCTGGTGTCCCAACCTGGAGCTGCTTCCAAATCCAGCTGTTCCCCACCCCTGGGATGTGCTAAACCAGAGGGTTCCAGCCTGTGGCACTGGTAGAAGTTCCTTTGGAAACTTTCTTCTCTCATTTTCTCGTACAAACGTGGGTTTTCAGAGCTAAATTGAAACCACTCACGGAAAGCATTTTTTTTTTTTGCCTCGTTTGTTGGGGTTTTTTTGTCATATTTTTCACCATAAACAGCGAATGCAGCTTTATCTGTAAACAAAGAGCCTCGACTTTCTGTCAAAAAATAATAATAATAACAATCAAAAGCTGGAAAATGGGCGGCTTTTGATGCAAAGTCATAATTTTCCACGGGAAAACCTCCAAATTCCATGGCAGGGTATGTCAGCACTGTAGATGAGTAAAAGAGATACAGGCAAGGTTTAAACCAGCTCAGACTGGTACCAGTAAGAGTCCAGCACTGGCTGTATCAGCTTGGCATTGACTCCTCTCCCCGTGTTTACAGCAGAAATCAGCTCCATGCACGAGCTCCTATTAAATCCACATTGGACAATGGCTCTGCTCCATCTTTTCCTTTGCCTCTGGCCAATATCTTCCCAAAAGCATGGATGAACTCAGTGATCCAGGCAGTTAATCATGTCCCATTGTGCCCTCGGGGTCAGATATGTCCCGGGGAAGGTGTCCCTGCCCATGGCAGGGGGTGGGATGGGATGGTTTTTGGGTCCCTTCCAACCCAAACCATCCCATGATTTCGTGCTTTATGGAGCTGGTGAAGAAAATGTACAGTTTTTACCCCTTTGGGGAGCT